CTCCTCCCATTGGTGCTACTTTCCTATCCTCAACACTCATTGCCTACTCTCCCTTTTGTTTATCTTTTCTCAACCTTCAGAACTTGTTAGCTTTTTTCCCTTCTTTACACTATAAAAAAAAATGCACAGCATCATAAACGTTTTGGCCACTCCGGGAAACAAGAACCCCAGGATGGAAGACATGCATTCTGGTTTCATTTCCTTTTGGTCAGACATGTCTTCCTTTGCAGACACGCAAACCCCAGGCGGACATAAACCCAAAATCTTTCAGTGGGCGCAAAAAAACAATATAAAGTTAAACGTGAGAAATTTAAATTACTCGATAGGGTAAACATAGGAAATTAAATCTTCTCAGAGTACAAAACAAATTTGGCCAAAAAATAGAGCGAAACCCAACGTAAAAGCCTGGGAGTGTTCTGTGGAGGATTCCCTTCAAGGCCCATAACTTGTATCAATCGCATCTGCTGAAAAATGACGGGATGGTAATGAAAACCCTTCAAAACGGGGGGGGCCCAAACCCCATGATGAACTTTCAGGTCACTTGTTTATCTGGCTGGAATATTCTGCCCCAAAAAACAGCACCTTTCCCAAGGCAGGTGAAATTGCCCCCTAAAATGTACAGAGAACTTTCAGGCGCGCTAACGGAGTTTAAAACACCTCATTTTGGGAGCGTTTGGGGTTCCCAAAACCTGTATTCCCTAAAAACCGGAGGGGGAGAAAATGATTATACACCTGGAAAATCCTAGAGGGACTATACCAAAACTTGACAGAAAATCCCTCACTAGAAAGAAAAAGATTGGCGACGATGCACCACCCCCCCAATGAAAACAGGGTGTCACTGCACTTAAAGACCATAAAATAAGTGTCAGGGCCCGGCTGTTAAAAATGCCTCCCAGACCATAAGGGGGTTTACCAACGACCCTGCAGTCTTCAAGCTGGCACTGGCAACACCTAAAGTCATTTCCCCGATCAGCCGGGGCTGTGGCTCGTACGTTGGTTTGGTGCAGCCAGCAGCAACAGCCGGTTTGACGGCTCTGATCACCAGGGGGGCCTGGTACAGGCCCGGGCCGCGGGGGCGTTGCCCCCCCGGAACTTTTCCCCAGGTAAACCAGGTAAACATGCTTTGGTTTCTTTTCCTTTATGGACAGACAATAATATAAATTAAAAAAAAATACATTGAATTTACTTTTTAAAAAAATAAAGTACTCATTAAAAAAAGGAGATAAATGGCGACTTTTTTTTACATAGTTATCATTTCTTGCATTTTACAGCTGCAGAAAAAAATTCCTTTACTCGGGTAGGCAGAAGTGAAGTGTAAAAAAAATCCCTTTAAACCCAGCGGCGAGAAAACTTAACCAACGATTTTTTATCCAAACTGTTGATGCCCCCGGGGCGGGGGGCCTGAGGGGGCCATTTTTTACAGCTGTTGCGGTCGGTTTCCACGTGTGCCCCCTATATTTTGAATTATTCCACTATTTCTAGTGCTTGAAAACTTTTAAAAAACAAGCCACCATGCTTTTCCAAGAAAGCTTTAGTGCCAAACCTGTGTTAAAAAGGGTGAGAATTAATGGAAATAAAGGAATCATTAAACATACGAGAGTGGATAGTTGGCTGAGTTTAAAAAGGGCAATACAACAAATCACATTCAACCATCAGTACTATTTGGCAAACAGGCAATCAGGAAGCTGTTGTTGTGAAGGGTTTAAGGGGTTTTTAAAACGGGGACCACAAATAGTTGAAAAAAGGTAGGGGCTGTTAGGATGGTAAACGAAAAAAAAAATTTTCAGGCAATAGTGTTTTTTCGTCTATAATTGTGAAAAGGCAAGGGAAGTTGCAGAAATCTCATTAAAAAAAATGCCTCAAAATAGTGCTGCTGCTGTTAATTTAAGGCCAGCAGATCTGGTTGAGAGATTTAAGATTCTTAGTGGCATACAATTGGTAAGCATGGTGACAGCCAGTTCGGACAAAAAAACGGCTGAAAAAAATTTTGAAGGACTTTAAGGAAAACTAGAGACTGAAAACCTAAAACCTGAACAAGTGTTTTAAATTTTGACGAACAGACCTGTTTTGGAAAAAAATCCAAACAGGACCTAATTACTGGGAGGAAAAGGCCCCCC